GACCCACAATTTCCATTATCAATCTTGTAATTTTTCAAGTAGATGCATAATATAATAGTTGATATGATTGCATAAAATTCTTTGTCCGACATTTTCTTCCTTTTTGTCAGATAATCAGATTCAAATAAATTAAAGTGTCTATATTTAAATATTGATTCATTGACAGATCTGCTCTCGAGTTCCGGATTGTAGTGGAAATAGAAGGGGCAAGTTGTCGGCGAAGGCAAGGTATCCGATGCTTCTTATATAAATGGTGGATCTCTTCAGAGTGGTGACTCACTATTTTCAAGAAAAACCTCAGAGATTTTCTCGGGAAAAATATTCCCGAGAAAATCTTCGACTAAGTGATTTTGCTGATTCTTGCCTTGTCTCCAGCTCACATTCTCCGACGATGATTCAAATGGACAGTGGAGATAGGTTGAGAGTGACGTTACTAGATCGAATGGCAACGTCAGAGAATAGCCGGAGCTCAGTCACTCTGGAAGATATTCTGATGATCGACACAAGCACTTCCCGGCCACAACCACCACCGACACCGTCACTTACTGTATCGGCGTCTCCGGCGAGGAATCGTAGTCTTCTCGACGTGATGAGAAGAGATCGCCGCCGCAATAAAAGCACCTGGAAATTTCTCCGTGATAAGCTCCGACTCAAACGCACGGCCACTTCTTGGATCTCTTCCAATCCTATCTCCAACTCGGAGACAAACCGGAGCAACGGCGACGGAGGTAGGCTCCGGCTAGGCACGGTGTTGACGGAGGAGAGGGATTTGTCGGTGCAGCAGACACCAAGGATGTCTTTAATGGAGTTGTTGGAAGATAATTATGATGGGGCAATGTATGAAGTTAGCGAGAGAAGAGAGGCGGAGGAGGAAGGAGAGACGATGACTGTGACGGCGAAGAAGGCGGAGTTGGGTTGTTGTGTGTGTATGATAAGGAGCAAAGGTGCGGCTTTTATACCTTGTGGACATACGTTTTGCAGGTTGTGTTGTAGAGAACTTTGGGTACAGAGAGGAAACTGTCCACTTTGTAACACTTCTATTTTACAGGTTCTTGATATTTTTTAGAGTTTCTTGTTTCAAGTGAAGATGTAAAAAACTAGCCAAATCATAGTTTCAACAATGCTTGAGGAAATGTCATTGGCTACATATGCAAATATATTACTTGATTGAATCGTAAACTATCAATGCTTTGGCATAGAGGATTTACTCGTAACCCAAGATTTCGAATTTGATCGGCGACCTCTAATGCTCAACTGAGAGATGGCATGATCTTTGGAGCCGTCTTGATCTTGCATAAGAAACTCAAAGGGCATGCCTCTTGAACACTCTTTTTTGGACATTTTACTATACTTAGCCAATATCCTTGATATAATAACTTCCACTCCGATTATAAGTCCAACAAAAGGTTTATTTGTTATGTGGATTTGGTCGCGGCTACAAAATCGACTTCGCGGTATTGTTTGTGAAGGGATTTTTCTGAACCAAATTCAGACACCAATTCTAGGTCTATGAATCATACACCTCCATTATTCTTTGATAAGCACATTTTTCCCAATTAAAACATCATTATATTCAAGCATCATTATCAGTAATTTGTTCCTACAAATGATCAATTAAATCATTTTTTTGTCATAATCAATTAAATCATTACAAAGTTATTTGTTTTATAAATCAAACTAGTTTGGACTACGCCGATATTAGTCATCAGTTTATGTTTATTTATGATCAATTTAATCTTATATAAGTTTATTATTCCTTACATAATAATGTTGTGGTTACAGTCTTTTTTTCAAAGTGTGGACATTGATAAATTTATTAAATCTTGTGGAATTGGAATCATTAATTAAATTGACAATCATTCCTAATGTTTTGTTGAAAACTAACGGAACAATAACCAAAATTTTTTTTAATAATATATTTTAAGTACAAAATATAATCATTTAAAAGTTAAATGGTTTTTTTATAAATAAAAAAGTTAATTCTAAAGTGGAAGAAGAAATAAGTTTACTCCAAATATAGAATAAAAGATGGGTTTACTTCATTTGGAGTGAGTTTTGGAGTAGGGTTGGAGATGCCCTAAATATAATAACAAATTATTCTAGAATCCATTATACTAAACCGGTCTATACATGTCGATAGTCCTCCTCAAAATAAAGGTCGTTCAAATATGTTAAGAACACCCATTTTGCGAATATTATCTCGAAAGACGCTGGATAGTGTGCAGTCCTCACAAACATACTGGTGTGTGAAATCGAAGAAAATTTTTTTTACTTGTTTCTTCTGGGGCCCACGACGAAAAGGTCGTAAAGCTTTCATTTCATTTCATTTCATTTTTATGCTGGAAGAAATCTTTTCACTAGTAAAATGGTAGTGGAAAAATTACTCCAGTTATCTCTACTTTATGGTGGGCCCAAAGAATTGCAGTAGAAATATAAATAAACTAGAGTAAGTATAATTTTACTTGACTGGACAAACCATAGAAGAAAAATAAATTCTTTCATTTCCTTTCCTCTAGTAGGGTATTTCGGTCACACCCATAGACTTAATAA